GAGGAGGAGGAGGAGGAGGAGGAGGAGGAGGAGGAGGAGGAGGAGGAGGAGGAGGAGGAGGGGGAGGAGGAGGAGGAGGAGGAGGAGGAGGACAATGGAGCCTTCGGTGCTCTCTGAGCTGGGTTGTTTTCTTGCAGACATTTCATTACCCAACCAGGTAACATCACAGGTACCTGATATCATCATCATCCTTAGAGCATTGTCAGCACCGTCAGAGCACTGAAGATGTTACCTAATTGGGTAACAACATATCTGCAAGAAAACAAGCTCAGAGACCACCAAGGACCCCAATTCATAGTTCCTGGAAAGGAAGAGAAAATTTGTATTTGTGCTGAAATTTACTGGTTCAGAACAGAGGAGAAATTCACTCCCAGTTGTGATGTAGTTGCTAATTTCCACCACTTTTCAGAGGTTTCAATTTTCTGTGCTCGGCTAGCGTGCAAGGTAATCCACAAAGACTTTTGGGCAAAAGTCCAGATTTATAGAACGACACCGATTTCTTGCATTTTCTTATTTCCTAGCTGGGATTTAGGAGAGTGGTCCGAATGCAGCAAATCCTGCGGCCTGGGGATGCAGCACCGCCAAGTTCTCTGCCGGCAAGTCTATGCCAACCGCAGCTTAACGGTTCAGCTGCACCGATGCCAACACTTGGAGAAACCAGAGAGGACAAGTACGTGCCAACTGAAGATCTGCAGTGAATGGCAAATTCGGACAGAATGGACATCGGTAAACAGGAATGATTCAAAGCCAAACAACACTGGCAAGCGTTAGAGGGGCATTGACACAGCCCACTGCTTATTTTTGATAGCTCTTTCTGAAGAGGCCGGGTCAATACTTAGACAGGGTAAACAAGACCATTCACAAGACCAGGAAGGCTGAAAGCATAGCCTCCTTGAAAGCTGAATGGGAGGAGAAGCATCTGGCCACCTTGTGAGATGGAGAGAGATCTTGGTTTGCTTGGATTATCAAAGGAAGTTCATGGGCTGCATTTCAAGCCAAGGGTGGAAGCTTTCCATCGGCACCACACCACCCTTGAAAAAAACAGTTGAGGTCTTCCAAAAGACATTAGTTTTGAGATAGCGCCCCCTCCAACCAGGATGTCTTGGTTGCGTAGTGGGATCCTCACAAGGGCCTGGCTAAAATAAGACCCTTTGGCAGCCTGGTGTGATAGTAGGGTAGCTTGAAGGCAACCTTTTGATCCATGAGTTTTTGTGCCTGCTTGACCCAAACATTTCTTCTCGTTCTAGTGTTCAGTTCCATGCGGAGTTGGCCAGAGGACTCGGGATGTAAAATGTGTCAGCAACCTTGGAGATGTTGTCGACGATGAGGAGTGTAACATGAAGCTACGGCCCAATGACATTGAGAATTGTGATATGGGACCCTGTGCCAAGAGTTGGTTCCTTACGGAATGGAGTGATCGGGTAAGGTTGGGTATTTTCATCCAGTTTAACCAGCGTTTGCTCAGGCAAAGCAGAACAGCTTCGCATAGCGGGGCGGAAAACTTTCTCCATAGATGATTGAAGTCCAATCTTTGGTCACGCTAGTTCTAAAAAAAAAAGAAAGAATTGTATTACACAAATAGCAGTACATATTCATTCTGTAGTTTCTGGAGAGCCTTCAAAGGGCACCTATTTTTCTAACTTTTTCCCTCGGTTGTGTGCCAGTTTCTTTTGAAATTCTTCTTACTGTTTTGAAATTGACTTTCTTGTTTATTGGAGCTTTCATGTTGGTGCATGAAAGCTTTTGACCCCATTGAATGGTGATTTTTTGTAAAGATGCCACTGGTCTTTGGTCCAGTCCATCTTTCCAAATCTGGCTTGGTTGCTCCATTTCCCAATCTGGGGAAAAAATAATCAGTGAAAGAAGTTCCCCTGGATTTTCTTCCTTTGGGATTGACTTCAGTGGGAAGCCAGGAAGCCTGCAATGAGACACATCGAGTTCACACATTCCCCTGGTCACTAAGGATGTTCAGGGGCACACCGTCCCACTGATAATTGGTGATAATCCCTAGTTTTATCGAAAGGGATTTCAGCAGGAAATTCTCTTTCGCCAAGAGCAGAGGTCTCCCAACTTAGAAACTTTAAGACTTCAACTTGAAGTCTGGGACTTCAACTCCCAGAATTCCTCAGCCAGCCATGAAGTCTTGAAATCCACAAGTCTTAAAGTTGCCAAGTTGGGAGACCCTTGCCCAAGAGACCGGGGAGGTATTTGTTTCTGGAGAAGTCCAAAGTATACAGCTTCCACCTTGGTTGTGCCTTCTCCATCTTGGGATCTTCCTTTTCCCAAGGAATCTTAGAGTTGATCCTAAGTGCAGAGAAAATCTCAATAAAGCTGTAATTCTTCCAATTGGCCAGATAACTCCATGCCAGAATCTTTCCACTCCACTAACTTCTTTCTCAAGGCTAAAACTTGAAGCTGTAATTGCTGTTTCTTTTCTCATTTCATGAAGTATTTTTTTTAAGAGTTTATTTATTTACCTTGACATGGGAATGGATATCTCTTTAGTGATTTATTGGAATTCATATGAGAAGAAAAAGGTATTCTTTCCCCAAAACAGGGAAGCATAAATAAATGTACAAAAGCACTTCTGGATTAAATCCAACGCAGTTATAAATCCAGATCACATCAATGAAGAGATTAGCTGTAAATTTTCTTCCTCTTTCTTCTCCAACCATCTTTTGTTCTTCCACAATTTTAAACCTATGACTTAATATTTTTTTTTATCTTTTTACATTGGAGAATGGCTTTATTGCTATTTGCACAAACTGTACCAAATAGTTTTGACTGGATCTACAGAGGAATTATTGAGTCTGTCATCTGCACCTCTATAACTGTCTGGTTTGGTTCTGCAACCCAGCAAGACAGACACAGACTTCAGAGAGGAATTAGGATTGCAGAAAAAAAAAATGGCTACCAACCTGCCTTCCATGGAGGACCTGTATCCTGCATGAGCCAAAAAGAGGGCTGTGAAAATATCTACAGACCCCTCAGATCCCGGACATCAACCGCTTCAACTCCTTCCCTCAAAACGACGCGATAGAGCCCTGCACACCAGAACAACTAGACACAAGGACAGTTTTTCCAGAACGCCATCACTCTGCTAAACAAATAATTCCCTCAATACTGTCCAACTATTTACAAAGTCTGCCTTACTATCACTGTTAATCTCATCACACCTTATCACCCATCCCTTCCCACTTGTGACTGTATGACTGTAACTTTGTCGCTTGTATTCTTACGATTTGTATGGACTCTTTCCTAATATGATTTGATTGCTTATTGTACCCTGTGACTATTATTAAGTGTTATACCTTCTGATTCTTGACTCTTAACGAATGTATCTTTTCTTCTATGTACACTGAGCATTTGCACAAAGACAAATTCCTTGTGTGTCCAATCACACTTGGCCAATAATGAATTCTATTCTATTCTGTTCTATTCTAATCTGTTCTGTTCTATATTCTATATTCTATATTCTATTTAATATATTATATTATATTATATTATATTATATTATTATGTTATATTCTCTATTCCATTCTATTCTATGTTCTATATTCTATATTCTATGTTCCATATTCCACATTCCACATTCCACATTCCGTATTCCATATTCCATATTTTCAGTTCTGTTGTAACCTCAAACAGTCACTAAGCGAATGGTTGTAATTCAAGAACTATCTGTAAAGCAGCATTTTTAAAAATGGAATAGAATAGAATAACAGAGTTGGAAGGGACTTTAGAGGTCATCCAGTCCAACCCCCTGCCCAAGCAGGACATCCTATACAATTTCTGACAGATGGAAGTCCATGCTCTTCTTGAAGGCCTCCAGTGATGAAACTTCTGAAGGCAACTTCTGTTCCATGGCTTGATTGCTCTCAACTGTTAGGAAATTCCTCATTTCTAGGTTAAAACTTTCCTTGTTCAGTTTCCATCCATTATTCCTTGTCTGGCCTTCAGGTGCCTTGAAAAATAACTTGACTCCCTCCTCTCTGTGGCAGCCCCTCAAATATAGGAAGACCCCTAATCTGTCTCCCCTGGTCCTTCTCTTCCCTAGACCAGCCAAGCCCAGTTCCTGCAACCATTCATTGTATGTTTTAGCCTCCAGTCCCCAAATCATCCTGGCTCTTCTCTGCACTTTTTCTCGAATCTCAATGTATTTTTTTTACATATATACAAATAATTGATATGACGATTTTCCTTGGCCCAAAAGACCGGTTGTAAATAATTTTCTACTTTTTTAAAAAAAACTTCTATGGCATATTTTGAGCAGAGTTCAAAGGTGCTCTGTCCACTTTTCCCTATTTCTCTATCAGGAGGGAATCAAATTTGAAAGCAAACCCTGGCTGTGCTCCAATGCCTTCATAATATTAACAATTTCCAAATGCTGGGCGTTTAAAATCATGGGGTTGAGGTTTTCACAGCTGTCTCTATCGGCGAGAGTGACTCTTGGATCACCTTGTGGCCGATGGGATGACCCAAATACTGTTCCCACCCTTTACTCCTTTGCTAGAATTCCCCAGCAATTCCTGAATTAATTTCTACTTGCAGACAAAACCAATTCATTTATTTATATTGGGCAGGAAAGCGAAAAACTGAAACAAAACCGATCTAAATTGCTGGTCAATTTAAGTCCTACCCTGATCTCTGCTCTTTGTCCCTTGGCTGGCTGGTGGATTCCCAAGAATGTCCTTATTTTAATTTTAAAAGATGGGATGAAAGAGGAGCCCAGTGCCAAAAAATATTCGAATCTGAAGTCCCCCGCTGAAGCCAGTGGTGGGATTCAAATAATTTATCCACTGGTTCTCTGCCTTAATGATTTCTTCCAACAATCAGTTCACCAAACTGCTGAGAAAGTTAACAACCAGTTCTCCCAAACCGGTGTGAACCGGCTGAATCCCACCACTAGTTGAATTCCTTTGAATTATTTGGGAGCAGTAAATTCCATATTGAAAGGTCAGTGGCAGCTGAATTTCAAAGCATCCAGACAGTCAGCTGGTAGGGAGGGTGGGTTTGGTCTGTATCTTCTCATTTGGCATTTTGGCCGAAACTGGATCCGTGGATCCATAGCCATTTAAAACAGAACAAGAGGGGAATTATTGTTGGTTTCCAGTTCTTTGTCTTTGAGAGGGCTGTGGGAGGAATGACCTTGGAAAAAGGCAATCAATGGAAAAAAACATCTTCTGCAGAAACGAGATAATAATAATCACCATCATCATCTAAAATAATGTGTTTCTGGTGTATTTTTTTTTCTTTCCCTAGGACTGCACATAGAGAATTTTTTTTTTCATGGTGTTCTCCCCTCCTAATGAACTCAAAATCAAAAAGTCCAAGCACCTCCATAACTGAATTTTATCATTTCATAGAACCTAGTTCTTCAATAACAGATCAGCACTCCTCCTCCTCCTTCCTTCCTCCTTTGTTTCCTTCTTTCCTCTCTTTCTTTTTTCCTCCCTCCTTCCCTCCATTTCTCTCTTTCTTTTTCCTCCCTCCCTCCCTCCATTTCTTTCTTTTTTCCTTCCTTCCTTCCTTCCTTCCTTCCTTCCTTCCTTCCTTCCTTCTTTCCTCCATTTCTTCCTTCCTTCTTTCCTTTCCTTGTCCCTCCTTCCCTTCCCTTCCCCTAATGAAATTATGTGTGTGTGGCTGCGGGTGTTTTGTGTGCAGTTGCCAAATGCCAAAATTGGCACATGCAGCCTAGCTTGTAACGAAATGCTTACTTGGGGCTTTCTTTCCATGTGAAATATAATATAAATGTTCGTGACTGTTTAAATTCAATTATGCACACATCTTTTGGAGCATGGGTTTCCCCCACCCCAAATAATCCATTCCCTGCCCCTCCCCCCTCCTCTTCCTCTAAAAGAATCATATCAGAATTCCTGCCTGTCTGGGTCTGTCTTCACAAGCGATGGACAGTAGAGTGAGACAGCGAGTTAAAGAAAGGAAGAGAAGCGTGGAAAACGATGGCCTGGATATGACGTGTGCAAAGTGCTTGGAAGAATTTGCATCCGATCGAAACACTTGGGAGGTTCTGGAAGCCTCAGAATATGCAAGGTGTTGCATTCATACAGGAAAAAAACAACAACACAGGCAGATTTTTCGTCACGTTGGGGTCCCCATTTTTTACCCACCCCCCCAATGGATACCCCAACAAATCTTTGCGGGTTTGTGTTTATACGAGAAAGTGAGATATAGGCATGTTTTTCTTTGCATTTCATGCCGTCTGTGGAACTCAGCCTTTTGCAAATGCCAGCTCTGTTTAATTTCCTAAAGTTTTTTTTAATCCACCGGGGGTTTTTGATGGAAAAGGGGTTCCTTGCGGGAAAAAAACCCTTTTTTCCCCCTTCCCCAGTTTTCTGGCACAAGAGGATGCGTAGGAAGGAAAAAAAAAAGTCTTGCAAACTCTTTACTAAAAGTTATTTAATTTTCTTATAAAGTGGCATCGCCTTTCTCCGGGGCCCGAGGTGGATTTCCCAGCTGGAAATCTGGCCCCCTGTTGTGTGTTTTGTGCCAGAGATTTCTCTCTCCTTCCAATGCTTCTTTTGTCGTAGTTACGATCCGCCAATGTTTTTTTTTTTTTTTGGGTCCCAACAGTGCTCGGCAGAATGTGGTTCCGGCGTCCGAACTCGTTCCGTGGTCTGCATGACCAACCACATCAGCAGTTTGCCACTGGAAGGTTGCGGGCACAACAGACCAACGGAGAGCACCCCCTGTGACAATGGGCCTTGCCTGGGAAAGGTCGAGTGGTTTGCTGGCAGCTGGACTCAGGTACCTTTGATGCAGGGTTGAGATGTCTTTCTGGATCCCTCTTTAGCTGGTGGGGGAGGCCACAATGGCTCAGCGGTTAAAGACACTGATCTTGACGGCCCGGGTTCGAGACCCGAGCACTGTACAAAAGGCTGAGCTCCCGTTCCTCCCCTCAGCTCCTGCCCACCTAGCAGTATGAGAGCTTACAAATAAATGTGTGTTCTGACCAAGGCTTCCTGAGACATCAACCAACACCAATAAAATCCAAAAGTCTTTTATTTTAGTTCAATGGCTGTGAATTATCGCCCTTCGCAGATTGACAGCCACTTGTCTGAAATGATACAGGGTTTCCTGTCTGAGTAGGGGGTCAGACTAGGGACCTCCAAGGTCCCTTCCAACTGTGTTATTCTGTTATCAAATGCGAGTAGGTTAATTGGACCCACTTTGGTGGGAAAGTAACAGCATTCCATGAATCTTTGGTGTATAGTCATGCTGGCCAGACAACCACAGAAACATGTCTTCTGTCCCTCGGCCAAAGGAGTAGAGATGCCCGCTACAGCCGGACATGACTGAACAGGGGAAATCTTTGCCTTATGTGGAGCTGCTGCCAAGAGAACCAAGGCCTGTCTCAAGGTCATGATGTAAGAAAGGCCTTGCACCCGGTCCCCCCCAAGAGCAGGTGGGAAGAAGAGAGGACGGCTCTCTCGCTCTTTCATCCGTCCTTAACGCTGGGCGGTCTCAAGAACAGCTGCAATGCAGATGTGGTAGAACCTAGCCAGATTTTGCTGGTTGTCTTATCACAGAGAGCTGGAAGGGGCCCGTTGAAAAGGGAGGACTCATGATTTCTCAGCCGGGGTGTATGTGGAGAGTAGCCCCATTTCCCACTTCTCTTTCAGGCCCTACAGTTTTGAAGGCCCTTCAGGAGAGCCTGCTGAAAATGTAAGCCATGATGTAAGCATCACTGGGTTTCAGCAAGGCAGGTGATCCTTCTGGCAGGGCCAGAAATAAGATAATGGCTGTAAATTTAGTCCTTTCACGCTGAAACGATAAAGGTGGGAGCCATGAGTTCTACTCCTGCAATATGTCTTCAGATGGTCCTTTATGACCATTTTTATTCAGGGACCGTTCAAGTTGGTCACACTTGGTCCTCTAGGTTCTGGACATCCTAGCATCCTGAAGTCCACAAGTCTTAAAATTGCCAAGGTTAGAAACCCCTGTTTTTAACCAAGCATTGCTACAAGATCAGAAGGAAGACCTTACCGTCGTAGTTGAGAATACTAGGTGGAAAGAAGGACTAGAGGTGACACGATAGCAATGTTCCAACATCTCAGGGGCTGCCCCAAAGAAGAGGAAGGAGTCAAGCTATTCTCCAAAGCATCAGAGGGCAGGACAAGAAGCAACAGATTTCCTGACAGTGAGAAGAATCAATCAGTGGAACAGCTGAAGTCATAAATGCTCCAACACTGGAAGTTTTTAAGAAGAGATTGGACAACCATTTGACTGAAGTGGTATAAAATTTCCTGCTTAAGCAGGGGGTTGGACTAGAAGACCTCCAAGGTCCCTTCCAATTCTGTTACTCTATATTCTGCTCCTTTAATCCAAAGAAGAACATCGTAGAGTATTGCGAAAGTCTTCCTCCTGCAATCTGCAACCCACTTATCTCACATTCTTCTAATCCGACCTTGAGACTCAATGCTTACTAAGATGCTGCAAATATGTGTGAAGTCAAAACAAGAGACCTGGGGTTTGAAGCCAGTAGTTTTTCACTGGGGTGTGTATGTGTGTGATTTATAACTTGTTATCAGGCACTTTTACAGAATTTTTGCAAACATTGCAGCTTCTCCTTATCTCCGTTAGAAAGCCTGGAGCCACCTTGTGATCAAAGAGACAGTTGACCGAATCGAGGATTGGTTCCCACTAACTCAGCTTTGATGTGAAAAATTTTTCTCATGCTCGTATTAAATTTACAGATGCCATGGTTTAGATCAGTTGCTTTCAGTCCGTCGTTTTCAGGGCCTTCCAGAAGTCCTGGGTTCCAGAGGGCCTCCTGTGATGACCCAAAGGGGCGTGGCACAAAGGCAACACAGTCAGATAATCCATAAGAGTCCCTTTATTAGCTTCAACTTTGCCCCCACTGTCCAGGTTACCTTTGGGCTGGAGAAAAACTTTCTCAGGAACAGCCTTTGGCTGCAGAGAATCAAGTCCAAAACATGGTCAACAAAAACTGTAACTTTAAGTCCCATCAAGCCAAACTGAGGTCATTAGTCTGGCAGGGCAGGAGCAAGAATTCCAGATGTGAAGGCATGGCAACACTCACACAGTTGGGAAGATGCCAAGAACACAAATAAGCAACAACAACACAGGATAAAGTCATGTTTGCACCCAGAAGCTGCCTCAGTCAGCATTCAGTTCTTATAAACTCTCTTCCCAGGTGTGGCTAATGAAGGGAATCAGGGCCCTTTCCTCCCCCATAAGCCACGCAACCCATGTTGCTCCCTTCTCCGTCTTCCCTGCGTGCTCTAGGATGAAGAGGGGGTGGGCCTGGGTCTTCCTCTGAACCCCCTCTCCCTTGTTCTGCCCAGCCAGACTTTGCCCTTCCCCAGTTTCTTCCACAGCCAATGGAGCCACACTTCCAATCCCTGTCAGCTGTTCATCTTCCTCCTCGGACCTCAACAGGGGAATGACACCTCCAGGGGTTCAGGGGAGACCTCTGGACCCTTGGGAGGGTGAAAAACATCCCTCTTAGAAAAACCGGAAGTCACAAAATGGATCCGTTTCTGGCTTCCAGTGGGCCTCCAGAGCCCGAGGGAGGTTGTTTTTGCCCTCCCAGTTTCGACAGGCCACACCCAACCAGCACCTGAATCCCACCCCTGGTTAGTTTGATGATGGTTCAAAGTGACATCAGCACCGAAAGAAAGTGATGTATGACCATTTTTCACACTTACAACCATTGCGGCATCCCCGTGGACACGTCATCAAAATTTGGACCCTTGCCAACGGACTCGTATTCATGACGGTTGGAGTGTCCCAGCGTCTCCTGATTCCCTCTGGAGACCTGCTGATAAGCGAAGTCAATGGGGAAGCCAGATTCGTTTTAACGACTGTGGCAAGAAAGGTCATAGAATGGGGCAAAACTCATTCAACAGCTGTCTGGCGGACATTTTGGGCTCCACTATGATTGTTCAGTCAAGGATCATCTGTCATCGTTCGCCCTTTATCCGCCTAAGCCTAGAATTTGGAGATTCTCCGGATGGCAATTTTACACCATGGATTTTAGAAGCTTATTCGGTTCTAATGAAAGCCGTTTCTTCTATTTTGTTTCCCCTAGTAACGCTGGCGATACTCATACCTTAGGCTTTGCTAAGCACCAGCAGGTCATTCTCACTGCACAAACATTTTTTTTTTTCCCTGAAAAAAATCCACAACTTTTGCACAGCCAAAAGTTTTCGTTTGGTTTTAACTGCTCTCCTAAGAGTTAATTTGCTCTGAGACCCACAATTTACAATGCTGTTAACAGGAATTATGTCTGAACTCCAGACATCCATGTTGAGTTTATCTATAAATCTACCCTCTCACCCCAGGCCTCTAATTTATTTCTCCAAGGTAATAAATTCTTCAAGAATAGGCACCCCGTGAACATTTCAAAACCCACAAGACTTTAATTCTCCTTTGTTAGTTATAATCTCTTTCTCTGCAACAGATGGGCACAGACTGATATCGTAAGATCGAAAAGCAGAGAAAATGGCACAAAAGCACCGTTCAGTGTTGTCGTATTGAAAGCAGATGATTGTCCTTTCAAAATAGTTTCATTAAAATTGTGCAACTTGGTTCCTGCTTTATGATCGCTGGTGTCTTCATTGAAAAACAGAGGTAATTTACGAGCCCTTACATCAGGATAAATACGTGAGCCTTTCAGGCATCTGAAAAATAATGATGGCTTGAAAAGCCAGCTCAGATAAATCATCTCAACTCCATCAATCAGAAGAGAAGAAAGGGAAGAGGAACTGAAAATATTGGAGTTATAGAGGTGCATCTGTGCCCAGGAAATTGGAACAGGTCAACCTTGGCAACTTTACAACTTGTGGACTTCAACTCCCAGAATTCTGGCTTGGCTGAAGAATTCTGGGAGTTGAAGTCCAAGGTTGGAGGGACCGCCTAGGTAAAGGACAAAGCTAAACTGGATAGGAGCACATCATGTCTGGTTTCTATGGATACAGAAGCGGGTTTCGTTGACTTGATTAAATGCCACCCTTGAGAAGGAAAATCAGATGCCTGCAATGACTCAAGTTTCTGTTGCGCGGGTCCACTTACCCAAAAAGGAAATCCTCATATTCTTCATGGAAACCAGTAGCTGATTGAAACTTTTTATCAAGACACATGGATCAATAACAGCAGAATTCTGGAACAGCAAAGAAACTCAGGGACTCCAAATTGCATCCATGAGTTTTAAGAATGCTCTTCTTAGAATTCAGGAGACCCGGAGCCCAAGCAAAGGATCCGACAGGGAAAGAATGGGGGAAATTCTAGAGCTGAAGAAACATTTCTTCATCTTAAAATCTCCGGAGAAGAGATTTTGAGCGAGGACTTTCCAAACAGATGGAATTTAAAGTCTCCAGCAAGGTAGGGCCAAGGGTGTTTTATTACAGCCCTGAGGCCAGATGTAGAGAAGGTATTGAATAAGAGTATTCAGTTCGACGTGTTATATCCCTCTCTATATATTGTACAAGGCAAATTAGTTTACTGTGCGTAGAAGAGAATATTTATAGCTCAGAGTTGAACTGTGGGGTCCTTGATGCTCTCTGAGCTTGGCAGTTTTCTTGCAGACATTTCATGACCCAACTAGGGAATCTCATCAATGCAGGGTGGGGTGGGGGATTTGCTCTCTGTTGGACATGAGAATATGTCTCTCTAGCATTGATGATGTTACGTAGTTGGGTCATGAAATGTCTGCAAGAAAACAACCAAGCTCAGAGAGCAGCAAGGACCCCACAGTTGTCTTTGTCGTCGTCCTCCTCCTCCTCTTCACCAGCTCCACTCCCTTCTGGCACTGATCATGTTACCTAGTTGGGTTATGAAACGTCTGCAAGAAAACAACCAAGCTCAGAGAATAGCAAGGACCCCACAGTCATTTTCCTCCCCCTCCTCCTCCTCCTCCTCCTCCTCCTCCTCCTCGCAGCTCCACTCCCTTCTGGCACTGATCGTGTTACATAGTTGGGTCATCTGCAAGAAAAACCACCAAGCTCAGAGAGCACCAAGACCTCACAGTCTATTACTCTTGGGTATTGGGTTCTTGTGCCAAACTCCTGCCGGCCTTCAACCCCAAACTGCCGTCTTAGAACATGACACTCTTACACCGAGACACAAGTCTTTGCTTTTGTTGGTGAACATTTAAAAGCGATGAGTTTAGACTAAGTTATCTTTCCCCTCCATCCCTGTTAACCAGACCATACTAAAAACATTTGCTCTTCTGGATTTGGGTCAGTTTAGGCTGCTTTTAGAACATTTTAGGCATCACGTGTGTTGATTTTTCTGGGAACAGCCTGTACTTTTCACTGGGGCGGCTGATCTACGTCTATTCAAAGATGACAAAAAATATACTTGGCCTATCAAAACATATTCCCCTTTTTAAAATAAGAGTCAGTTCTGCTAGACTACGCAAAGCGCCAAACCTTTTAGCGACGTAGCTTACAAAGTGACCTAGAAACCGGTTTAATCGTTGGAGTTGTTTTCTAAAGTAGGGGGTCTTCCACCTTGGCAATTTTAAGCCCCCAGCCAATTCTGGGAGTTGAAGTCCTCCAGGCTTAAAGTTGCCAAGGTTGGAGACCCCTGTTCTCAAGATCATTTTCGCAAAGTTGCCAGGAAGAGTGCTGTGTCTGTATACTTCACCTTTAAGGAAACAGGAGAGATCTTCAAAAGCCAAAATTAGCTTTTTCACACCTGAAAGTCCGTGTTCCAAACCCCGGGTGGATTGCTGCTCCTCCCCAAAGATGGAAAAGGAGGAGAGGTTTTTTGGGGGTTTTTTTAGAAGCCAGCAGTCAAGCTGAATCCTCACCTCAAATTTCTGGAGAAGTAGGAAAAACGTTCACCTTCACTCAGGTCACCTTTGCACCGATGCAATTTTGTGTTTTTTTGGGGGGGGGGGAAAGCAAAAACCACACATTTGTGTGATGGCTGCCACAAGGGAAGGGCTCTTTATCCTCTTGGGTTTCTGATTTTAGATCCGCCTCATTTCAAGATGGTCTTTGCAAATATTTGGGTAGGAGAGGCATACAAAAGGAACATCCTCTTCTCAGCCCCTGAAAGAATGTGTTTAAAAACGTATGGAAATCAGAGAACCGCTTGGTGTTATATATGCCTGTTGTTGTTGTTTTTTAAATGCATGCTTTGATCAGAGGACTGCAACACAACATGAACAGAAATGCATTCCGGTTGGAATATTGCCCTGGAAACTAAGAAGTGCCATAATTTCCTGCTTTCCATTGCTACTTGTAAAGGGTGTGAGGGAATTTGTGATTCCTCGGGATCTAATTGAATGAGTTACCTAAACGGAGGAAAACAAATGGGATGAAATTCAGAGCTCGCCTTTGGCCAACTCGCTCAGTGTCTCCTAAGAAACCCCTCATAAAAACTGCAAGACTTTCCTTTTAAATATCCATCCATGCCACAATCCTATTCGTTTTTTCTTTATTATGGTACACCCAGAAGGATTTTACTCATACATATTTTTCTCATTTTTTTAAGGTCCTTCCTTCCTTCTCCCTCTCTTCTTCCCTCCCTCCCTCCCTTCTTCCTTCCTTCCTTCCTTCCTTCCTTCCTTCCTTCTCCCTCCCTTCTTCCTTCCTTCTCCCTCCCTCCTTCCTTCCTCTCTTCTTCCTCACCTCTCCCTTCCCTTCTTTCTTTCCTTCCTTCCCTCCCTGCCTCCTTTCCACCCTCCTTCCCCTCACTTCCCTCATTCCCTTCCCTCCGTCCCTTCTTTCTTTCTTTCTTTCTTTCTTTCTTTCTTTCTTTCTTTCTTTCTTTCTTTCTTTCTTTCTTTCTCTCTCTCTCTCTCTCTCTCTCTCCCTTCCTTCCTTCCTTCCTTCCTTTCTTTCTTTTTTCCTTCCTTCCTTCCTTCCTTCCTTCCTTCCTTC